TAGAGAGAGAGAGAGAGAGAGAGAGAGACCTTAATTTGATACAAAAAATGGCTCCGGTAGGTATATGAAATTTGGACAAAGTTGGAGAAATGCGTTTTTTAGTATTAGATATATAACACGAGAACAGTTGGAGTCAGTAGAAGAAACTATCGAATTAGGTTTAGAATGGCGTTTGACTTATGTAGTCATACACATCTATTAATTTTCCAACAAAAAATAAATAAATAAATAAGACCTAGAATATTTCACAATTTAAAAATAAAGGTTTATTTTTTTTTCTAACTTTATTAAAAATCTTTGTTACCTTTTAGCTATATTTAGTCAACTTGTATTAAGTTACTGAAACATATGTATATATAAACTTTGGACGTCCTCTATCAATCGGTCCAAAAATTAATTTGAAAAAAAAAATTCATAATGTAATTTCTAGACAAAAGAATTCAATATGCACTACAACACTACAAAAAATATGTCATGGTATACAAGAAGTGTCACTAAAAACCCTAAAAATGTCATCGTTTCATAGAGAATGAGCAGCACACATAATAAGTGTCACTAGAAACGCTCCCACTAAAAACTTTTAGTGACACTCAGTGCTTTTGCCGCTGTAGTTTTTTAGGCTTTTAGCAGTGACACTTTTTTATTTGCCAAAATAGAAGAAAAGCTTTTTGTAACACATTTTTGTGCCGTTGAATGCTCATTTTGAATAAAGAATTCCTGCTACTTTAAGCTACATGTTTTAAGATTTTAGTGGCACTTTTTTATTTGCCATAATACAAAAAATTATTTTGTGGCACATTTGCACCGATAAATACTCATTAGATTCTATAATTTATACTATTTATATCTACATAATTTTTATCTATAATATAAAGTAAATATATATATTTATATAGCAAAACCTAGAAAATAATAAAAGTTTCATTCCATCGACGAAACAAAAATCATTTTTCTTAATTCCAGTGGAATAAATCATTTCATTCATTTCACAATTCTATTATAACAAACAAACACTACATACACAGAAAATAAAATGTTTTTCCAACCTGGCAAACTGCTAGATATTCAATAATCATTTATTTGACTTTCTAAGCCATAATGGTCATCATGTATCTTTGAAACTTTTAAGTCCAATTCAACTTCTTCACTTGTTGTCTACCATCACAAATCAGCAAGAAGCGCAAGGTAAACACATGAGTTATTATACCCTGGTTGTTGAGTTTGCATTTTTTTCAATCTCCTGATAAAAACATTTTACATAAATGTTAAAAAAAATCTCATCAAAAAAACCAAGATACATTTATTTGTCAAGAGTTTGAAGAAAGTAAGACATAATTATAATAATCATAAAATAAGAATAGTAAATTTCATGTTTGGTCTCTGTGGAATTTTAATTTTTTCAATTTTGGTCCTTGCCTGAGGTTTTTATAAAGATTTTGGTCCTTGGTCCAAGTAAAACGACTATTTTTGGAACCATGATTGCAAAAACTACCTATAATTGATTGAAAACCAAAAATAAGCATTTTGATTTGAAGAAGAATGACCAAAATCGTTACAAGAACCATAAATAAGGACCAAAACCGTTACAATAACCACAAATAAGGACCAAAACCGTTACAAGAATTAGCAATACTTAGGAACCTAAAATATAATTTATCCTCCACCTCTAGTGTTAATATAAACGCACCTTAAATCAGCTCAATCCTTCAAGAATAACTATGTATGTAATCCTAACACTTGGTTTCTCAACTCCTTCTAGTAGATGCAATGCATGAACAACTACACCCCTAACATTCAAACATAATGACAGATTTTTTTTAATCATAAATTACCCATAAATGACTATATTTGATAGAATATACTTTGTATGCTAGTTGAGTTATTGTTGACTTTCCCCATCAACCTTGTGATAATCTGATAAATCTTGTTGATTCTTGGATTTCTATCACCCAAATCAGCCCCTACACTCAACAGTGTCAATGCCACTTTTTAGAACATTACTAGGGTGCTTTGAGTTCCCAAACAAATGTCCATGTCTATTCGATAGCATTCTTGACATCATTCGAATCGAATCATCCAAACTCCATAATCCAACAAAGCATGCCCAAAGCTTGGCAATGTCATATTTAGTTTCAAAAAAACCTGTTCCTACACAAATAAGATAACCAAATTACCAAAACACACTTATACTTGTCCAGCCACCAAAAACTCATCTTAAGTTGAAATTTTCCACAAGTAATGAAATCAACACTATTTACCTCTTGAGTACATTAGGTTTTGCAAGCCCCTGCTAAACTTTCTTAGTTTAGGTTAAATGATTAGAGATTGAAGGACACTTGATAGCTAAGGATTCCTCCATAGGTAACCTAGCTTTCCACTCATACAAGATTCATAAATCATTCAATTCAGAAGAGTATAATATGATTAATGAATATTTTTGAAAGAAAATTTTCAAAAAATATATACTCGCAAATTCATAAGAGCAGTCGTTAGGTGCATATGCATCTCTAAAATATATAACTGAAACAGTTTCATCATCCCTGCAAGTTATTGAATGCATCAATGTATGATAGAAACTCTTACCCGTATTCTTTTTGAGAGAATCCTATATTCTAGTTTTGTAATTATAATCGACTAAATCGACTAATTATTTGAAGAGTAGGGAAATTAATTTCGATGACGGATGAAATCTTACATCATGATAGAATTGATGGGTTTTAGGTAAAACAAATAAACTAGAAACAATTCCTAAGTTCACATGCAACCTACTTTGGAT